GAGTGAAATAAGTCAATCACAGAAGGACAAATATAGTATTAGTTCGTTGTTGTGGAGGGTCAAGGAAAGGTTTATATATGGAGGAAAACTTTCTTGATTGACAGGGAGGGGTGGGAGGGGAGGGAATACTGCAAAAAAAATGCATTGACCCATGTCACTTTAGTTTTGTGTATTTCACTGTATATAAATTATATTTCAATAAAATGGATTAAAAAAAGTGAAAAGAGAATCTTCAGAATAAGAGAAAATATTTACAAATCATCTATCTGATAAGAAACTTGTACACAGAATAAAGAACTCTTACAACTGAACAATAACAAGACAAATAATTCAATTGAAGATGGGCAACAGATTTGAATAGACATTTCTCCAAAGATATAGAAATGGCCAGTAAGCACATGAAAAGGTACTCAGTGTCACTAGTCATCAGGGAAAAGCATATCAAAACCACAATGACATTCCATTTTCATACCCACTAGGATAGCTATAATCAAAAAGACAGACAATAACAAGTATGGGTGAGGATGTGGAGAAATGGAACCCTCATACAGTGTTGGGGAAAATGGAACATGGTACAGCTGCTGTGCAAAACAGCTTGGCAGTTCCTCAAACAAGTTGAACATAGTTTCCCTATGACTCAGCTGTTCCCTTCCTGGGTATATACCTGTAAGAACTGAATACACAGAATCATACAAAAACTTGTACCTGAGTAGCAGCATTATCCATAATAGTCAAAAAGTATTAAACAATCAAATGCCCTGGTATATGAAATGAATAAACAGAGCTGGATGAATGGTTAGCAGTCAAATGCCTTAGGCACTACACCCCCAGAGCTCCCACCCAACATTTCTTAGCAATAAAAGCGAATGAAGTACTGTTGTGTGGCACAGCAGGGATGACACTTTAAAACACTTCACTTAGTGAGCAGTCAGTCACAAAAGACGATGTCGTTTGATTCCATTGATGTGAAATGCCCAGAATTTGTGAATCAAAGAAAAAGTAAGCAGATTAGTGGTTTCCAGAGACTTGGGGGCTCAAAGGGGAGAAGGACAGGGAGTGACTATTAATGGGTAGTTTCTTTTTGGGATGATGAAATGCTCTAGAATTAAATGGTGATTGATGTGGAACTTTGTGAATATAATAAAAATCACTGACTTGTATACTTTAAAAGGGTGAACTTTATGGTATATGAATTATACCTCAATGAAATAGGTATTTTTAAAAAGTGTGGGCCATATGTCATTTCTTTAAAGTAGAAAATATACGCAGGGTTTTGTTTATTTAGGCAGGAAATACCCCTGGTAGGATACAAAAGTAATCAATTAACAGTGGTCTCTAGGGAGAGGAATTGGTGGCTGGGGGAACAGGAGTTTTTACTGCATAATCTTTTTTGCCTTTTGAATTGTGAACCCTGTGACTGGGTTACCTATTCAAGAAATGGGACCTAGTTTTTATCAGAGCCCTGGTAATGCAGTGGTTAAAGCGCTGGGCTGCTAACTGAAAGTGGTTCAAACCCACCAGCTGCTCCGCGGGAGAAAGATGTGGCAGTCTCCTTCCATAAAGCTCTAAAGCCTTGGAAACCCTACGGCGAGTTCTACTGTGTCCTATCCAGTTGCTATGAGTCGGAATCAACTCAAAGGGAGTGGTTTAGACTTTATCTTGATTCTAGCATAGCACTCGGCACAGTACCCAGCACACAGTGAATGACCTGAGAAATAAGATAAAGCCCTTGGCACCAGCAGGCACTAAATAAATACTGGCTACCTTGACTTAACAAGGTGTGACCCAGCACCACAGAGTGGTGGTGCGAACGTACCTTGCTATGCAGACGGAAATTACGGATGAGACAGAGGCAGCAAAGACCAGGACTGTCTGGCTGGCATAAAGCCTTGTCCTTGAAAACTTGTATTTGGAAGACGAGATCTGAGCCAGGAGATTAAGAACTAACCAAGGAGCTGAAGTGCCTCCTCAATTCCCCTCCTGAAGCTGCCACGTGCTGGGAAGAAAGTCGGTTGCATGGAGACAGGTGACAGGCTTTTACCTGGCTCTGGGGACTCCTTGCTCACATGCTCAGCTTCCATGAACCCGATACCTCCACTGAACATGATGGGCTTGATCCACTCACGCCGCTGGCCATCAGGGAGCTGGAGGCCCAAGGAGCGGGAGAAGCCTGGAAAGTAAACAGCAGAAGGGGTACAGTGTATAGTTACCCAGAGCCACCCTCCTCACACTCACCCAATAGCACAGCCCTGGTCCCACCCCACCAGCCCCTCCAGGACTAGGTGTCCATCGCCCCACACGATCGCCAGCCTCACCTGCCAGCACCGGTTCCCCAAACTTGTTGCCGTAGTCAGAAGCCCCATTACTGGCTTCAATGGCAACCTCCAGGGGCCGGGCAAAATTTCCAGGATACAAGAAGCTCGGGTCCTCCCAGGGCAAACTGTAACCTGGGAGGGAAGGAAAAAGTTGGGATAGATTGGAAAAACAGAAGATGGAGGAGCCAGAGACTTTGGGAAGAGATCAAGGTACCAAGGATCGCCTACACAGTTCGAACGTTCTGTTTTAGGAAGTTCCATTTTAGGGAGGTGTACAGCTTGCAACGAAGCATGGTCTTGCTCCCTACCTCCTACACCAGCCTTCCCTGTAGAAGGAAGAGTCTGAAAGACTTTCTAAGAAAGTGGCCTTGGCAAACAACAGACAGGCATATGAGTTGAACATTTACCTGAGGTAGATACACTCCTTGGAGAGAATAATCATGGGAGAAAGAAGGGCTGTTTATGCACAGGGAGACAGCTCAGGAAGCAGGAGTGCATGGAGGGTGGACACAGGGAAGAGGTGACTATCGGGAGGAAGTGGGAAGGGAGCTGTCACACTGTGGTAAATTGCAGTCGATGTAACATGAGACAAAGTGTATGTGAACTGCTGTATGGAAAGTGAATTTGCTCTGTAAATTTCCACCCAAATCACAATTAAAAAAAAGAAAAGAAAAGAAAGTGGCCTTGGGAGGCATGTTATGGTCTTAAGAGTGACTCAGTATCCTGTTTTCATGGTAAGTGGATATTTCTTTATTAAGAAAACCATGGTTCTGCAATGCCAGGCTGGTAACCTAGGCCTCCCCTGGACTGTATTTGTGATCGTGGTATATAAAAGGCCTACTACCATAGAGCCCTCAATCCCAAGAAAAGAGACCCAGGATGACTCTCTGACCTCGAAGATCTAAGTGTCACCATCTGCCAAGACAAGGAAACTAGAAGGGGAAGCGGGTAGAGATGAAATAGACAGACCTGGGATGTGCAGGTTTCCAAAGCAATAGCCGGCAGTACCAGCTACTACGTGGGCCCCACGGCCTGTGCACTGAACATCTCGGATCCGGCCCCCAGTACCGGTAGTGGCACCGCTGAAAGGGGCTACTCCTATGAAGAGAGAGGGGAAGAGATGTGGGCAACACAGAGAGAGACTCCATCTCTGACCACCCCCATCAAATATAAGGACAACCAGCCTCCACCACCTTGCCCTGCCCTACTCTGTGAACTCTCCTAGCTCTCCTAGGGACCCAGGTCACCTGTGGGGAAATTGTGAGTCTCCGCTGTGAAGACAACATGTCTCAGCCCCTGCTGTTCCTGGAAGCAGCTTGGCTGTGTAGGGTCCTCAGGCCGCAGGAATCTGACTTCCTTTCCCTGGATTGCACTGTGAATACATCCATTCTGGACTCCGCTTCCTTCCTGGGATCTGCCACCAACCCAACCAGAGTTCTTGCCCTGAGGCCACCCCAACCTAGGACAGCACCCACCTGCTGTTGTCACAGAACTTGAGGATGTTGTTGGGGTTGGAGGATGCCTGGGTGCTCATGATGGACTCAAACAGAGAGTGAGCCAGCTCCTGCCCATCCAAGTGGAGCCGGCCCTTGAAGAACCAATGTCGGCTGTGTTCGCTGCAAGGGTGACGCGAGAAGGGGAGATTGGATGGGGAGGGGCACCCAACACACATACAGTGGCCATCTCAGGCCTTGCCATGTCATCACACTAGCATTTGACATATAATAATTTTTAACAAAGAAGCCCTGGTGGCCCAACAGTTAAGTGCTCAGTTGTGAAATAAACGATTGGTGGTTCAAATGCACCCAGTGGCTCCATGGGAAAGGCCTGGTCATCAATTGTCCTAGAAAACCCTACGGGGCAAAGTGCTACACTGTCATACAGGGTCACTACGAATAGAAATCAACTTGATGACACCCAATAATATTTAGCAGCAGAGCTACAGCCAACCTGCACTTAGATAATTGGCTGATAATAGACCAAAACACATTCCAAAAAGTCATAATCTTTATTTTATCACTGTGGATTACCCAGATCTGCAGTGGTGACAAAACCCAAATCTGAATGTAGACTATTGGTTGCATAAGCGAGTGCAGGTCCTCAAAACAGACCCAGAGAGGCCTCTAAGCTGAGGGAGAGTCTTGAAAGTGGGCCCTACGGTACTCCCTTCCAACCTCCACAAACTCAGACATCTAAACACCTCCATTCCTTCCCACCTGTTGGACTGGGCCAAGTCAAAGGCCTCCACGGTGGTGGGGTTCCGCTGCAGCTCCTGGAAACGTTTGGTGTAGAAATCCAAGTCCCAGGAATCTAGGGCCAAACCTAGGAAACAAACCCCAGAACAGGTGTGGGACTCAGGTCACTGTATTCCAGGGCTCAGCACGCCTGCTAACCTATCCTGGGACTTCCAGGGACCGTGGCTCACCTAACTTCTGGTTGGCCTTCTCCAAGGCAGGCCGGCCCTCGCCCAGTATGTCGATGGGGCCATTGAGGGATGCTGGGGTGCACTCAGGAGAAAAGCTCTGGATGGGATGGGGGAAGTACTGTTCTGTCATCCGGTCATACAGGGTAACAAGAGCGACGGTCTTCACCACAGCTGGAGGGGGGTGGGTAAACTGGAGCAGAGACACATACAGAGGGCAGAGGGTGGAGTTGAAGATCTGAAGAGAAATGGTCCACCCTCAGCCCTCCAAGTCCTCCGGGACCAAGACACCGCTAGCCCATGGGCACCTCTGTCTAGATTAGAAAGAGACACCCCTTCCAGGCAGAGTCCATTTCAGGAGACACAAGTTAGTAAGGGGAACTCAGGATGTATTTTTGCCCCATTCACCTCCCGCAGTAAGGTACCCTCAGGCAGTCCATGTCTCCCACAACCATATAAAGACAGACCCGAAGAAGGAATTATTTCCCCACTTCTCCTGTTATTCCCCTAGATCTAGGACCTGATCTCTTATCTCTGGACACCTCCTCCTCCTGACCGCCCCCTGTCTCACCGAGAGCCAATAGCGCCGAGTAGTCTCCACACGACCCACTGCTTCCAGCCCAGCAGCCTGACACACTGACACGATGTTAGTGGATGTTGGGGTGGAGAAGTTCAGCCTGAGGGGGGTCAGAAGGTTAGGACCAGAGAGCCCCAGGCAGGCCACCTGGAGCCACCTGGGCAGCTTGGTCCTGCCCCAGCCTTTAACCTCAGGCCCCCACCACTGGTCTCCAGCCTCAAGCCTAAGTACCAAGAAACCGGCTTTCAAAGAGGTCACTCAAATCAAACCATGACTGTCCTTCTACCATCAAAAGTGCTGCAATTTCAAGAAGAATGAAGAAAATCAAAGACGCATGAAAACAATTAGTCCAAGGGACTAGTGGGCTATGCAAACCTCAGCCTATATGACCATGAGACCTGAACTGGATGATGCCTGGCTACCATTGTCAACCACTCGGAAAGAGATCAGTGCAGGAGATCCTGGATAGGATGGGAGAACAATGTACAAAAAAACCTCAAAATTAAAGAAAAGACCAAGTTTAACTGGTCTGAAAGAGCCAGTGACTCTCGAGACTATAGCCCCTACTTACACTTCAGGTCTGGAAATGAACTCACTCCCATGGCGTCTAACCAAACAACAGACAGGCACCTAGGGTGAACATTTATATCAAGTAGACCCCTTAGAACGATCAATCATGGGAGAACACAAGGGCAGTATTTGCACAAGGAGATACCTCAGGAGACAGGAATGCAAAGGAAAGGACACAGGGAAGAAGAGGTAACTACGGGGAGGGAGTGGGAAAAGAGCTGTGGGGAACTGCAGTCAGTGTCAGGAAACAAAATGTGTATGAATTGCTGTATGGAAAACAAATTTGCTCTATAAAATTTCACCCAAATCACAATAAAAATTTAAGAACAAAAAGAGGGCTGCAATTTCAACTTCTCAGAATGCAACTTGTTTTTCTTCTAGAACACCTTTGGGAGCTACTTCAGCCTTCAAAGACTTTTTCCCAAATATGGAAGGCATGTGCATGGCCTGCTAGGCAAGGAGATAGGATAGAGTGCGTGAAAAACAAGGCATCTCCCCCAAAACCACAAGGGTGGAAGCAGAGGAAGGGACATGGCAGGGGTAGGCAGTGGGGTCTGGAGACCAAGCTGGGAAAGGCTGCTCAAAGCAGGACACTTACCTGGGCCCGACCTCCAGCACCAGGTCATTGGGGCCGGGAAAGAGCCAGGACTTGTGACCAACATCATCCTGCAACAAGGGGCAGCCAAACAGCCACTTCAGCTTATTCATCTCTTTGGTGCTTGGGAGGGATTCAGCTGTAGGGAGAGAGGACAAAGATGCCTTAAAACTTTCCCAGCATCCCAGCAGCTCCCCACAAGTTCAACACCGGGCCCAACCTGTCCAGTTAACATTGTAGCACAGCTCCATCTTGACACCCTGCAGCTCTGGCAGCTTCTCCTGCAGCTTCGTTCGAGTCTGTCCAAAGGCTGCACTCTCATGGCCACAGGAAAGGACATAGAAGCGAAGGACTGGGGACATCTCTGCAGGTTGCCCTTGCTGGAGAGATGAGCTGGGTGCTGAAAAATAACACCAACCACAGTCCATCTGTTGAACCAACTTCAAGTTTTAAGGACAGCTGAGGCTTTGGAAGCAGTAGAGAGGGGTAAAAGGGAGTTCATAGGGATATTCAGAGATACAAGGGTAACCCGAAAACAGCAACCTTGGGAGTTTTAACTAGTCCTGCAAAATGTGGGCTTTAACAATGTGGGAAGAAGGTGTCCAGATAAATACTCCATAACTGTTCCTTGACATTTGCTGGGCTTCAGGCAAAGTCTTAAGAACACAACTGTGGACAAGCCAGGAACCATTTATGCCCTTACGTTGTTTATGTGCCGTCGAGTCGGCCCCGACTCATAGCGACCCCTCCTTGGGTTTCCAAGGTGGTATCACTACAGAAGTAGATTGCTCAACCTTCCTTCTGAGGAGTGGCTGGTGGGTTTGGACTGCCAGCTTTCTGGTTAGCAGTCAAGTGCCTTAGCTTACAATTTATTGAGGAAAATGGGCAAGGATCTAGTCCAGTGTGGCTAAGGTCAAGGGACTCAGGTATCAACCCAATGTTTTAGGAGTAAAGGGGAGTTGGATTGGGCCTGACTGGTGAAGTCAAATGATGCTTCCTTTACTTTAGTGCTTTTCAAATATTGTGTCCCTACTCAAGGTAAATCTAAAACCTTTAGCCTGACCTCCATATCTATCCCCAATTACTTCCAACTTCCAACACCACAGCTTCTCAGCAGGACCCTTGCTTTCTTCACCACACCCTGCATGATCTTCTACCTGTTCCTTTGCATCCCTCCTAGAATTCCTAGTCTTATGCCACCCAATCCAAAGCTTCCTTATCCTCCAGGATAAGTGCAGTCTCTCCTCCTCTGGGATGCTCTCCTCACTGCCCCAGCCCTCAGGGACACTCCTCCTCAGCGTCAGTCATTTAGCCATGACCTCACATACAGGGCTCACAGATGTGTGCTACCTCTTCCCAACAAAGCAAGAGAAAGGGACACTCACAACCTGACCTCTGCACTTGCATAACTTATAAGGATCTGAATTAAGTATTTGACTACTAAGGATTCTATGTTGCTGATCCAGAAGTCACTTATCCGTTCCTTCCTTACTTGACCTCTCAGCAGCACTTGACCGACTCATTCCCTACTTTTTGGAACACCTTCCTTTCTCAGGTTCAGTGACAGTGCACTCCTCTGATGTTCCTCTTACCTACTTGGTTGCTCCTTCTCAGAGACTTGTGCTAGCTCCTCCTCATCTTCTAACCCCTAAATGTTAGATGGCTAGGACTCTGTCCTAGGGTTGCTTTCTTTCCTCTCCATATGCTCTTCCTATGTGTGTATCCGGTCCCACAGCTTAAATACCATCTTAGAGACTGAACCAATGAAACTGCCAGCAATCAACCATTTTTGGCCAAAATGGCAATTTCATATGGTTCTAGATATTTGCCAATGTATTCTACGACTTTATTGAACCCTGACTCTCCCTGAAACTCGATTAGTACATTCAAATGCTTACATGCTACCTCCACATGGATATCTCATGAAAACCACATATAGCCTATTAGGGCCCAAACAGAAATTCTGATTTATCATTTCTCTAATGTGTTGTTCCCTCCATCTTCCCCATCTCAGTAAACATCACCATCAATCAGTTGCTCAAACCAAAACACCAAAGTCAACATTAATTCTTCTTTCCTTACCCCTCTTCACACTCAATCCATCAGCAAGTTGTGCTATTTCCAAACATATCCCAACCCCCTGCACTTCTCTTCACTACCATTATCATCACTCTAGTCCAAGCCACCATCATGATCCACTTGGACTAATGCATTGGCCTCCTGGCCAGTGCCCCAACCACAATCCATTTGCCACAGATCAGCATAAATGAAATCACTGCTTTCCATCACATATGGTATAAAATCTCAATTCAGAACCCTGGTTTATATGACCTGGCCACTGCCTACCTCATCAACCCTATCTCACACCAATCTCCTTCTAAGGCACAAAATGGTTTCTTTCTATTCTTTTAACTTGCCAAGCTCTCCCTGGAATGCAATTTTCTTCCCCTGATATTTACATGCCTAGCTATTTGTTATCTCCTTTTCAGGTGAAATTTACCTTCTTGGAAAGGCTTTCTTTGACTAACAATTCTGAAGTAGTCTATCAATCAGATGGTCCTATTTTAATTTTTATATAGTACTTACCATTACCTGATACTTTTATTTATTTTTCCTATACTTTCCTAACTAGAATTAAATGTTCTGTAGGCAGGGACTGTAGCTATTTCAATTCTAAGCAATGACTTCCCAAGGCTTAGAACAAGTTTTTTTTTAAAAAGTTGAGTCCATTTGGACTTACAGTGACCCCATGTGTGCAGAGTAGAACTGCATTCCATAGGGCTTTCAGAAGCGGATCAACAGGACTTTCTAGCAAAACACCTCTGGATGGCTCTGAACTGCCAAACTTTCAGCTAATAGTTGAATGCTTAACCCAAAAACTCCTCTTAGAGCAACACCTAGGGCTGAAAAAAAAAAAAAAAAAAAAAAACTTGACTGACTCAACTCTTGATCCCCAGCACTACCACCCACCACGTCCCCTCCCTCAACTTCGGACCACTCTTCCCAATTTTAGTAACCAGCGCTTCTGCCAATGTGTTTTGCTTCCTTTCTATTAGCGCTCCCCACACCACGCTAATCGCCCTTCCCAAAGTAGGTGCATCACTATTATTCTCCTTAATTCCTTCACAGGAATGATCGTATCCTGAAATCACTATTTGCTGTTTAAGCTACTTGATTTTCGTGTCTCATTCCCTGTGAAACGTTAAGCTCCTAGAGTGCGGTACAAGCTGTGTCTAGGTCACGGTTGTCTGCCCAGTGACTAGCATAGAGCTTGATACAATAAGCTTTCAACAGATTTGTTAGTTGAATGAATAAATGCCGGAAGAGGGCTTAATTTACGTGGGACAGGCCCTGCCGAGAGTCTACGAAAACCACGCACGTACAAATATTCATTTGCTCTGAAGCAGCCATGCAGGCCCCAGCTGGACTCAGCCCGGTCTTTTGGGAATACCTAAACTGCCCGTGTCAGGCTTGGGATGAACGGTGAACGACTGTCCCGGGAAGACCCGCCGGCCATACTCACGTGGAAGCGACTCTCTAAGCCCGTGAAGTCCTTGAATCGTCGCGGGCTATGCGTCATCTACATACGCCGCGAGAAGAGGAGGGTCTACAGGCTGCCAGAATACTCAGTGACATCTCCTGCCGCTGGGGGCGGAGCTGCGGCTGGGTTCCTTTTGGATGGGACGTCTGTTGGCGTAGTGCCTAAGGCATTTGACTGCTAACAAGAAAACTAGCGGTTCAAATCCACTAGCCACTCCTCGGAAGGCAGCTTGGGCAATCTATTTCCGTAGTGATGCCGCCTCGGAAACCCAAGAAGGGGTCGCTCTGAGTCGGATCGTCTCCACGGCAGTGGGGTTGGTTTGGTTTGGTTTTATATCACAAATTTGTTTCGAATTATCCTTTGTGAAAACACAATCAGTCCCATGGCTTCGCCTTTCTTGTCCCCGCGCAAACTGTGAGGGACAGACACTAAGATGCTTTGAATAGAGAAAACGGAATGAGAAGCATCTTCCAATGTCTAGGACTCAATTTCCCTCCTCTTATCCTTTGGCTTGCTTTCTCTTTTTTCTTTTTCTAAATCAACTAATTTATTTAATTCAGAGTGGAAGACCCCGTTTTCGATTCTCATACCATTGCTAGTAACAGTAACTAATAATGATAACTGAAAAATCAAACACGATGCCGTCAAGTGGATTTCAACTCTAGTGACCCTATAGGACAGAGTAGAACTGCCCCATAGGGTTTCCAAGGCTGTATACTCTTTACGGAAGCAAACTGTCACATTTCTCCCGGGGAATAGCGGTGTGTGTGTGGGGTTTCTACTACTGACCTTTTACTTAGTAGCCAGCTGAACGCTTAATCACTTCCAGGGCTCCCTATTAATAATGATCAAATAGAAATAGAAAATATTTATTGAGCTGACATCTTGACATGATCTCATTTGATGTCCACATTTAAAAAAAAAAAATCATTTTAATGATTCAGGACCTGCATGAGGCTCTTGTTTAGTTTTGTAACTGGCAAGCAGTGCGCTGTACCTGTGTACATCTCTTTTGCACAATTTTTAAACTCTCATAATACAGGAATACATGTCAGTCAGGATCCTATCAGAAGACAGATGATACACTCAAAATGGTTTAACTAACAACAATTTAATAGAGTGTATTTACAGAGCTGTGGGTAGGGTTAAGAACCAACAATGTACAGTGGGGTGCTTAGAGCCTGGCAACATCAGGAAGTTGTTATTACCCTGAGGCTTGAAGAAACAAATGTTATCTGAGCTGAGCCACACAAGAGAGGCCTCTAAATAGGACAATGAAGGCACAGTTGTCCTATTAGAGGCCCTCTGATAAGATCTCTAGTTGGGGAGGAGAGGGTGTAAACACTCAACTCTCTCTCTCTTCTTACTGTCCAGGCTCTGTCAAACCCAATTGGAAGACTGATAGCGAGGAAGCTGGGGTCATATGCCAGGGCACACAGACAAAAGCCAGCTGAATGGTCTTTGTGTGTGTGTGTGTGTGTGTTAAAATGTATATAAAGAAATACCTGCCAGCCATTTTTACCTATACAATTCAGTGACCTTAATTACATTCACTATGTGTGCAACCGTTACCATTACCACTATTCATTTCCAGTTTTCCATCATCCTAAAGCTACTAATAAACTTTGATCTCTATGTATTTACTTATTCTAGATTTTTCATGTAAGTGGGATCATACAGTATCTGTCCTTTTGTATCTGACGTATTTCACTCAGCACAATGTTCCCAAGGTTCATCCATGCTGCAGCATGTATCAGAACTTCCTTTCTCTCTATGTGTACAGATGTACCACATTTTATTTATCCATTCATCTGTTAATGAACACTTGGATTGTTTCCATCTTTG